CTGAGCCCGGTGCCCTCTGGTCTGCTCTGTCCCTCCCCCCTCCCCTCCCCCACCCATGGGAGGGCCACCTCCTCCCTCCCTCTCTCCCCTGAAGACTGGGCGATGGCCCAAGGGAGGAGGAGGGCAGCTCGCCCAAGTGCAGACCAACAGAGCACTCCTCACCAGGAGGGTGGGAGGGGGCTCAAGCCAAAGTCCCTGAATTAGAGAAAAAAAGGGGGATAAGGGGGTCCCAGGGGCAGAGGGGCAGCTGGCATAAAGAGCTTCAAAGAAAAAGGAAGAGCACCAACCGCCCCCGCCCCCAGGGCCCCAACTAAGTGCCATTTATCTAAACGCCCCCCTTACGGTGCCTGCCTGCCCAGAGCCTGGGTTAGCCATTTAGTAGGAATGGGGAGGAAGGAGGACAGAGGTTAGAGAGAGCCCAGCAGACAGACGGGAAACAGGGAAACAGAGTCCTACAGGGGTGGAGGCCATGGGAGACGCTCACACACACCCCAGCTGCCCAGTGCAGCAGCATCTGGATTGGAACTAATACTGCAGGATGCAAGGAGGGCAGGAGCTTGAGCCACAGTTTTTCCTGTGTAGGTGCCAAGGCGCGGAAAGAGGGGGGACAGGGAGAGGCCCCTGGGGCCGGGCACTTGGAAGGGGAGCTGTGTGGGCAGCAGCGCAGGCTGGTAAGGGGCCAGCTGGCATCCAGCATGAGAGGTAGATGGAACTCAGCGGGCACGAGTGGCAGAGAGCAGAGGAAGTCCTGGGTGGGGGTGCCAAAGGGGCACAAAAGGAGGGGCAAGGCAAGGGGGTGGCCAGGACCCTGTTGTATGAACTCACAGCTCTGATCGGCAGCCCTACCCTGGGGGATCCGGTGTGGGGGACATTTCTCTCTGATTTGGGGGGAGGAGGGGCAGCTCTCAAAGTGCATGGGGTGGTAAGGGGGGTCCCACCCCTCTGGCCAGCCTCAGTTAATAACTTAATATCATCTCTCTCTCTCTCTATCGCACACTCTCTTTTTTTGTCTTTTTCTCTCTGTCTAGTTTTTCTTCATTTATCTTCTCCCCTTGTTTGGTTTCCAAAGTGCAGTTAAAATGACCATAGTTTTTAACCTGCAGGGGAGGAGCCAAGCTAAGCCATTCTTTGCACCCAGGCATCTGGGGAAGTAGAGAAGTCCTCAACCTGAAGGGGAAATCTAGGCCAAGGAAGTGGGTGGGGGGCTCTCTCTTGTGTGTGTGTAGGGGATGAGCTGAGGGCACTTTCCCCATCCCACATTCCTCCCTCCCCTACGGTCAAAATGGCTTGTCCCCTCCTAGTTCTCCCTCCCTTCCCCTACCTTCATAAAGGACGGGGTCCTGGGAACTGCAGGACACGGTCCCCCCGCCTCCCACACTGTCCTTTTCATAGCAAGTTCATTGTTTGCCCTGTCCCAGGGCTGGAGGTTCTGAGGAGGGACCTGGGCAGTGCGGGTGTGTGTGTGGGAGCTGCATCTATCCAAGGACGAGAGGAGGAGAGAAGAGGTGTGGGGGGTCTCCCTTGGGTGACTGGCCAATGTCATCCGGCTAGCGTAATAACTTCGTATAGCATACATTATACGAAGTTATACGACCTGCATGCGTGCGTGTGTGTGTGTGCGTGTACTGATCCACAGGAATTGCTCCCTGTCCAGAGAACCTCAGCTGAGCACATGCTGGGACCAGGTGCCCTGTGCAGCAGCTTCGTTTTCCCTCCAGCACCACACCATGTCTGTCTTCCATCTGCCACTCACCTCGGAGAACATGGGCAGTTTTTTGGCAAAGTCCACCACACGGGTGATGGCTGGGGTAATGATCTTGGTAAACTCGCTGAAGGCCTCTAGGTCCACCTTGTCTCCGTCTGGCATGGAGACGATGGGTGACTGGCCAATGTCATCCGGCTAGAGGGAGAGATGGGGGTCAGCTGGGCCTGCAGACCCCATGCAACCTCTCACGGAGGCTCCCTGCCCACCAGGGGGAGCTCCAAGGCAGCTCGGGGGAAAGGGGCGGCCAGTACCTGGCCCCAGCCCTAAGACTTTTCCTTCACCTTGGGGTGGAGGACAGACCAGAGCCAGAGCTCCAGGTCTGCTAATAATAACAATAGTAATAACAGAAGTAGCAGTAATGTAATCGTAATAGTAGCTATAATTATTGAATATTTAATATGTGATCTGGCATTAGTCTACATGCTTTACATATCTCGTTTAATCCTTACCACATTGCAATATCCACTATTTCACAGGTGAGGAAACTGAGGCATAATGCAGCTAAGTAATAACACCAAGGTCACATGACTAGTGCGTGGTAGAACCAGGCTTTGAACCCAGGCAGACTCCAGACTGTTACACACACATCTGCTCGGTACTGGAGCACCTGATCTTAACAGTGAATTGTTCCACCCTCTGGCACACTCCATCAGGAACCAGGGGCCAGTTTTTTGCTTTCCCCCACCATGTACAATCAATTGTCTGTCTCCTCCCAAACTGATCATTCACTTGGCAATCAGTTTTGCCAGGGTCTAACACAATGCCTGCCACCCAGCAGGTGCTCAAAAATACTGTTATTACGTCTTCACCCTGTCCTCCCAGTCACTGTGGGCAGGAAAAAGAGGAGGGGCTGCCCCTGCTCACTGGAAATTCCACGAGGAAGGCAAGGCCCCATCTTCATGGAGCTCCCAATCAGATGCAACAGGCAGGACCCAGATAGCAACGACATATACACAGATATACAAAGCCAGGACCGCCAAGGTGTGGAGAGAATCAACTTCGGGTGGGATTAAACTAAGAAGCCTTCCTGGAGGAGGCAAGACTCTGAGCTCGTCGCTCTCTCTGCCACTTGGCTGTTGCTCTCTCCATGCCTCCTGTCTCCTTACCAGGAATTTCCGCCTCTGCTTCCAATGGCTGCCCTGGGCATTGGTGCTGCGATGGGCCTCTGTGGCAACATGGATCAGATCCCACTCTTCGGGAGTGGGCTCTGGTCTCTGCTGCAGTGATCGAATCATCTCTTCCTTCCGCCGCCGCTCTCGGTTCTGCTCAATCAGCTTGCGCTTGGCTACCCGCTTCGAGTCGTCTAGAACCACTGTGAACAGACAGACACAGGCCCTTTGCATGGAGCTCTCCATCTCCTCTCTACGATCCTCTCAGAAACTACTCTTCCTAGCGTATGGGTTGGGGAAGTTAATTCCCAAATCACCTAGCAGTTGGCTGACACAAACTGGATCATGATTAATCACTGGGGCCATGTCCACTCCAATTTGGGCTGATCCAGAGGGACATCATGTTCTGGTCTAACAGGCTGTGGTGACAGTAGTTACTAGAAGATCCTGCCACCCAAGCCCTAGCCTATGAAAGATGCCCTCTCTCATCTAGAACTGGGGTTCCTTCCCTGGGAGTCAGGAACAATGTGCTAGGGTGGGAGCTCAGGGTTCGGGAGTCCTTTCTACCTAACAACTCCCTCTCTAAGGCCCTCAGGAAGGGAAAGGCAGATAGGCCCATGTGCAGGGCCCATAGAGGGATCCTGTTTCCTCTTCCCCAGGGACGAGGACAACAGGGACCAAGACTCTGAACATTCCACCATCAGTGTGACCTGGATTGGACTGTCACTCTGCCTTGTGGGCCCAGTGGGCACCTGGAAGAGATCTGCCATCTCTGAACTCAACCCCACCCATCTGACTCAATCCCCCTCACCCGTCCCCTTACAGTCCATGGCCATGCCCACGGCGATGCACTTCTTGAAACGACACAGCTGGCACTGATTGCGGGTGATCTTGTCAATGACACAGCAGCTGTCATATTTGCAGGAATAGGTGGGATGGAGGTTCTTCTGGATTGTGCGGCGAAAGAAGCCCTGGGGTGGGGGGAGATGGGGCACACTGTGATCACAACTTCCCTTTCTTGAACCAACCGTGCAGTTCACTGAGGGATGCAGAATGCAAAATCAGCCAGGGAACCTGGCATTCTCCTGACACTACAAGCCCAGGATATCTGAGAAATACATGCCCTCAGTGCCCAGGCTGCTGAGAGGTGGGGGTGCATGGGCAGCGGTGGGGGCAGAGAAGACTACAGTGAGCAGCTTTGGGCCTAGAATGGTCAGAGGTGCTATGAAGCCTAAAGGAGCAGCAGCCTTAGACACCCGATTAATACCTTATTTTCCACTTTGCTAAATGACTCTAAAAACACCACTGACCCAAAAACCATTCTCATATGCTGCCTGTTGCCCATGCACATGGAATTCATAAAACAGGGGGTGCAAAAAAGTCTAGCATTGGGTAGAACAGAACATTCTAATAGCTTGAACAGAAAATTTTCCATTCTATCAGGATTAGTCTTTGCTTTAAAGGAAAACCCTCAAGAATCAAGATGGTAGCAATGCTAGGAAGAGCTAATATTTGTTGAATGCTTACTATGTGGCAGGCTCTTAGCAAAGATAAGCCTTTTTCATGCATCACCACATTTAACCTTCAGGACAAACCCATGAAGTAGGAACTGTTGTTACTGCTGGAAACAGTAACAGTAACAGTTCTATTTAGCAGACTAGGAAGCTGAAACTTGGAGCAACGAAGCAAATAGCCCAAAGTCACATGGCTAAATGGGCAGCTGAGCCAGATCTGGGCCTCAGGTATGGGGCACCAAGGTCTGAGCTCTCAAATTCTGGGGTGCATTAAAGTCACCTAGGGCACTCACCAAAGATACAGATTCCAGGGCCTTGCTCCAGACCTGCAAAATCACTCTCTAGGGCTGGGGCCAAGGCATTCCTGTCTTTTGAGGGTGCTCCCTTGGGACTCAGGCGTCCTTGAGGGTGAGGATCCTTGCTCTATGCTACACTGCTTGTATTGCTTCCAGGAACACTGCTATGGAACTCTAAATTCCTGGTGGTCTTGGTTTGGCTGACACTAAGAAAGAGAGAAACTTCCAGCCTCAACACATTTAAAAATTATTCTGTTTCTTAGAAGGTCATACATTTTCAGGAGGTGATCTCAGGAGAGCCATGCAGGTTGAAATGACCAAAGTCAAATTTAATTAGGCCTCCACAAGCCTGTGACCTGGTCCCCTTTGCCCAGGAAGAACCTGCCATCCTCTTTCTCTGTTCCTCCACCACTGACTCTCACCCTTTCAGGTGCATCAGAAACACCTAGGGAGCCTATTAAAAGGCAGATTCCTGGGCTCCACCACAAAAAGGTCTGTTTGAGTAGGGGTGGGGTGAGACCTGGAATCTGCATTTTAAATAGTACTGCAGGTGGCCCAATAACCTCATTTTGAAAACCGCTGATGTTTGTTTCAAGTCGGTCTCTCTCTGATAGGCTTTGAGCAGCTTGAGGGCAGGACATACACTGCACCCTTCACACTTAATACGCTGATTGGGTGGATGGTAGCTGACGTTTATCAAGTGTTCTTATGTGCCTGGCACTGCTTTAAACACTCCATGTGAATTATCTCATTTAATTCTCTCAACAACTCTATGAGGGCGGTAGTACGATTATCCCTGTTTTATAGGTGACGAAACTGAGGCTCAGAGAGGTTAGGCAATTTAGTTGTGAGCGGTACAGCAGGGATTATGAATGAATAAACGAATGCATGAATGAGTAAGAGAGAAGAAATGATGACATAACAGGTGGGCTTTAGGTTTCATGTTTATAGAGCTTGTCCGTCGTGCCAAGGGCTGAGGGACTTAAACGGAGGGAGTTGGGGGCTCGGGTAGTGGGGGAGGGGCAGGAGACGGTTTCCATACCTTGCAGCCCTCACAAGTGATACAGCGGTAGTGATAACCAGTTGCCTTGTCCCCACACACGACACACTGCTCGTCTTTGTCCAGGTAACTAGGGATATACCCTGAGAGGGAGGAAAGGATGGAGGCAGGCAGGCATCGCTTGGAGCCCCAACAGAGAGGCACCTGCACTCTCCCCATCTCCCAACTTTTCCTTTCTGGCCCATTTCCTAGCCCAGCCTCCCTGATGGGTTCTTTGTCTCCAGGTAGAGTTCTGGAGACATAACTGGAGGTAATCTTGACCATCCCCTTCACTAGGAATATAGAGAGTTTCAGTTCTTCTGATTGCCCATTCAGGGCTTTTTTTCTTGCTCTAAGGGGCAGAGGATGGCAGAGAGAGAAAAACAAACATCAGCAGCTCATCTCAGGAGAATACAGGCCCAAGGTCCTCCAGCACAGGCCCTGACTCTAGTGCTGGCCTTAGGTGCGGGGTTGGTGGGGGGGGGGTGTTATGGAAGAAGGGAAGAGGCCCGTCCTGACCTAATCCATTCCCCAAAGCTGGGGCACACCCCTCATCACCCCTTCACTCCCAGACATGTCTATCCCAAGCCCTCTAGAAGGCTCTTTCCCTGGGACACAGGAGCTGCTGGCACAGGCCCAGGCCCAGAAGAGGCCTGGCCTGCAGTCTGTTGGGGTTGGGGGTGGGGAGAAGGGGCACATGCAGCCAGGCTCACCTGACATGCTGGTTTTCAGGGAACATTGGCCGTTCTTTCTTTTTCGCTTTCCATCTGGTGACCTGGCACTGGGTGGGGGCAAAGTTGGCAGAATCACAGAGCAGTCTTTGGGCATCCCCCTTCTCATCTGAGAGGCTTATACAAACCCCCAGGCCCAAGTCCCTCCATCTTGTGTCCTCATCCTACCTCCCACCCCCAGGTCAGCTGACAAAGCTTAGAAGGGTCCAGCTATCTGGAAGCTGCAGGGAAGAGAGATAAGGGGCTTGGCTGGGGCACAAGCATGTTCTAGGGCCCCAACACACACACACACACACACACACACACACACACACTGCAGACCTTAAGCACCCACCTTGGCTGGGGCACAAGCATGTTCTAGGGCCCCAACACACACACACACACACACACACACACTGCAGACCTTAAGCACCCACAATCCACAGGACATCCACATATTTAAGCTTTCAGTGCATGACAAATATGCTGAAAGAATCCTCAGGATATGCTTAAAGCTATGTAATCTTTAGAACACACACATATATGTGCAACATAACACCAGCACATATGAACAACTATGCAGCCTTCAGTATAAAACCAAGTACGGTAAATAAGCACCAAGATCTACATATTGATGTAACTTTCAGGGCATTCTCAAATGTGTTCTATGACCTCCAGGATAAGCCCATTTGTTACACAACCCTCTGGACCGGCATCTAATAATACCACTCCCTCCCCCAAGTGTGAACATGTGCTTCATATCTGGGTCCTGCACACATGCTGAATAACCTATAGCAATTGAAAACACTAGAGTCGCCCTGTTCACTGCCTCCACTTAACAGAACAGCACAGAGAGGCCCCACTTGTGCCTGGTGACACCATGTGTGGGAGTCAGAGCCATAACAAGGACCTTGAGCCTCTCCATGCAAGGTATTATTAGCAACCCTCAGCCACTGCACATATATGTCACCAAGCTCTCCACATACATGTTACATAACCTCAGCACACACAGGTTACATAACCCTTCTCCATGCATGCAAGGATTGTATAACCTCCCATACCCACCCTGCGTGTGGCATGTGGCACCACCCCTTCTCCTGGAGCAGATGTGGCTCCCAACACACTGACACAGTGACCTTGGCCAGGGTCACAATCACAGACAGCCTTGTGCTCCACGCCCCCTGGGGATTAACCTGTCTGCTTCCTTTGAGGCTGCAGGGTCAAGTCTCCCTACTGCCTTCTGGAGTGGTGGGTGCTGGGGAACTCAGGCCATCTAGGGCCTAGCTAAACAGGCCTCTTCAGCAATTACCAGACTTACAACCTCTGGGTGCAGTCCCATGGACAGCCACAAGGTGGCGCAAGGACATGGGGGAGGGGAGGGGAGGACAGTGGAGGAGGGGCTGCAGTCCTGGAGGGACTGGGAACCAGTATTCCCGCCTTTCTCCAAGCCTTAAGGGCAGACCCTCCCAGACCCACAGAACTCTGAGGAAAGAGGTATAGAGCCTGCAAGTGACAGCCACACAGCAAATCATCCTTCTCAGAATCACGCCCGGGATGAGGCTTTGGGAGAGGGGTGATATCCTGGTGCCCTACCCAGCCGTGAGCCCATCCACTTCCTCCACCCCTGCCGGGACCCAGTCTTGGGCCCCAAGGCTTTGCCTGGTCAGGCCTCTGGCTTCCTGGCTCAGGATCTGATCTCCTAGGCAACAGCCAGCCACACTGCTCCCCAGAGCACCCCCACCCCCACCCTCTCCCTGGCCATAGGCACAGGCTGTACCCAGCTCCTGGGGCACCATGCCAACTGGGACAGAGCTCTGTGCCACTTGGAGCTGATGGGAAAGGCAGAGACCCTCTGGGCTCCTCAAGGGCAACGCAGATCACAGGTAACCCATTGCTAGCTGTGTGTGCAGGGCTGACGTCTCACCCACGTGTAAGCAAAACCTTCATAGCTGGCATGCACTTCCTGGGAGGAGCTCCATGGCAGTGCCCGCCCTTGACCATGAACAAGGAAGAACTTGTGGGGCTCCCAATAGATTCCAAGTATAAGCGTTGGCTGTGACCAATAGTTACCAGTGCATGGGCCCTGAAATGTCATGTTACATGCACCACGGCTTGTGGACCACATACCTGTGGTTAGATGGCGAAGGGGCTGGTAGGGAGAGGAAGAGAACAGAAAGGCTGTTTGGATCCCACATGCTCAGGTGAGGGCAGCGACGGGAGAGGGGATGCTAGGGGCATTGAGATTGCCCAGCACTGTCAAGGGAGGGGCCACATGCCTGCTGCCTATAATTACTCTGCTCCATATCACTCCCCCTTTCAGAATGGACATGTCCCAATCCAAGTGCCTAAGTCCCTGTTATATCTGAACACAACCTCATCTCCTGGAAAAGGGAGGTAGCAGGCTTGCTGGCCTCATGCCCCAGAGGTGCTTAAAGACAGTGTCTAAAAGACACCTTAGTTCCCTTTTTCCCAGCCAGGTGACCATGCCTGCTGCCTGAGAGCTGGCAGAACCTAGTTGCCGAACCCATTACCTGTTCTCCTCTGGGTCTGACCCACACTCCACCTTGCTTGGCTTCTGTTCCATTCACTTCAATTCCATCCAGGATGCCCTCCAGCACGCCAAGAGACTGGTGGGGCCCATTCTGCCTCTGGTACCCCCCCAGACCAGGACTAGGGAAGTAGCTTCGGAGTCTTCTCCTGTCCAGTGATCCCTGTGGAGAGAGGAGAGAGGAAGGGGTAAGAAGGTGGCCTTGTGGGGGTGGGTAGGATTCCCTTGGTGGCAACACTGGGGCTTTGGGGGCCATAACAAGATGGCAGTGGCATGGAGGGTAGCCACAGAGAAAGGAGCACAGCTATAGCAAGCAATACTGGAGATCCACATCCTAAGCCCCAGACATGAGGAGGCATGGGGGGAAAGCTCGAGGTCACCTATGTACTCAGGAGCATGTCTCAGTCCTCAGATTCAAACAAATGCCTGGCCCTTAACAAGAATCTATAAAACATTAACTATTATACCACCCCTCTAGTCAAGTTTTCCTAAAATTCATCAGTATCATAGAGGAAAGAGGGGTACAGAGACAGCAGTTTTCAGCACAGGCCTGAGGGTACCCGTGCAGGAGAAGGGGTATCAGGGCAGCACGCAGGAATCACAAAGGCCCATCTTGCTGCCTTCATGGAGAGACACAGCGAAAGCAGGGAGGAGCTATAAGCCCCAACTCCGGCCCCTCAGAGACGCTAGAGCTTCCCATACAAGGTCCCAAATCCCACTTCCCAGTCTGAGGAACTGACTTCTCATTTGGTTTAGACGAGCTGCCACTGATCAGGATGGCGAGGGGAAGGAGATAGGAAACTAACACGTGTTGATGGAATTCCCATACAAGGTCCCAAATCCCACTTCCCAGTCTGAGGAACTGACTTCTCATTTGGTTTAGCCGAGCTGCCACTGATCAGGATGGCGAGGGGAAGGAGATAGGAAACTAACACGTGTTGATGGAATTAGATAATATGTGCCCTCCAAAGTGAGCATCGGGACTTTACAGATGAGGAAACTGAGCCTCAGAAAGCTTGAGCATTCACTCAGGTTCCCACAGTTAGTCAGCAGGTGGCTCAGGGATTAACACCTCCTGGCCTGGCTCTCATGCTGGCCCTGCTTCGCTGGGCCCACCCCGTCCTCAGCAGCGCACCTCCGACCGTGGGCCGTAGACCTGTAGCTTGCCGTCTGCATGCACGCGGGCAGGTGTGGACATGTGGGAGGGGACAAAGGGTGCAGCTCCCCACATGCAGCCTCCACCACGTGCCTGCTGTACCAGGGACCTCACCCCTGGGCCCCCTCGCCCCACCCCTAGGGACTGATAAGGAGCAAGGGTGGGAGGAGAAGGGACAGATAAGTCTGGGGATTGGGCAGGGCTGGGCAGTGGGACAGGGCCTCTGAACCCAGACAAGCCCCCAGTGTGGGGAGTGTGGGAGGAGTATAGAAAAGGGGCCCATTCTGCCTCTGGTACCCCCCCAGACCAGGACTGGGCACTGGGGGCTGGACAGGAGACTGGGGGGGTGGCTCGAGCGGGGAGCCTTAGCCCAGGGAGCCATCAAGAAAGTAGGTCAAGTTTTTCTTGGCTTGTGGAGAAATTCCTGTTATAAATTTATAATGGCGTAGCCAGTCCTAAGGGCTGGAGGTAGGGGGAGGAGGACAAGTAGGTGGGGATGCCCAGGGGCTGGGCAGTGGGGCCTGCTGCTCTCAGCCAGAACCGTGAGGGGTAGGGGGCAAAGGCAGTTGTGGGGGGTGGGCTGGACAATGGGGGGCTAGTCTCTGTTTCCATCTCTATCTGTGCCAGTAAGGCTTCACTTGGTCTATGTGTATCTGAATGTCTCTCTCTCTCTCTGGGTCTGGGTGTCTCCCTGTCTCCCCCCCAGGCTGTGCCTCGGTGCTTGGCACACCCTGGCTGCGGTGCTGCCCCCGCCTGTCTCCTGCCCTCCTGGCACACTGCCACCACTTGTTTACAGAAGCTGGAAAAATCCACTCGCCAGCCAGAGGCCCAAGCGCCCCCAGGGAGGGGAGGAGGCAGGCACAGGAGTGGGCATGCTGAGAGAGGGGCAGCCCTGGGGAGCAGGCCCTGGGGGCAGGCGAAGAGGGCCAGCGTGTGTAGGAATGGGCATTAGCCAGCTGTGAGCCAGGCCAGGCGGGGAACACGAGCATAGCCACATGGCATGGGCAGCTTCTGTCCCAGGCCATGGCTCTGGAGGACCCCCTCCCCTCACACCCCCACCACTACCAGTTCCTACAGGGCATACCTGGGGCAGTGCCAACCTAAGCCACCATGTTTACTTCCCCTTCCCCCTCCTCAGACCAGCCTTAACTCCAAATGTGTCTGGGCACTGCCAAGGACTTGCACGTGCCCACTGGGGGGAGGGGAGGCTCCCTCTCTGCTCCACCTCTGTGCGGAGCTGAACGGTGCCCTGGTGCCAGTCGGTACAGCCCAGGCTATGGTTAGACCCTGGCAGTAGGCAGAGGAGCCAGGTGCTGCCCTCATAGCCTAGGGCACTCTCGCCTGGCACCTAGCAAAAGGCTGAAACCCCTGGGGACTCCAGGGATATACCTGGGCCTTTGAGGTGACACAGAGCTGAGGCAGAGGGCCCAGCATGTGGGGAGGCACAAACCACATGAGCCTGTGGTAGCTGTGGGCAGAAAAAGGTCAGTGGGGGGATGGGGCAGGGATACCCACCCTGAAGGGCAGCCTCTCTCCCCTCCTCCAGGAGTCCAGCTTAATTCCCCAAGCTCCTTCCTGGCAAGTTTCCTGCAGAGGTGGAGGCTCAGCCCCAAGGAGG